CAACTGCTGCAGACTTAGTTTTGGCAAGCTGTTGATTGGGTTCGAGACTTAACGCAAACGATAGTTCAAATATGGTTAAGGGAGTGTGGCTTCGCATCTTAACGGAGCACTAAGCTGGGGTTCGGCTGGCTTAAACTAGCGCCCTAGAGGGATGCTACAGGCATTTTGCCTTTGTTGCGATCCAGGCCGCTTAGTGAGCGAACTTGCCCTGATTTTTTGATCAGCCTTAGCTGCAGCGAGGAACGTGGCATGATAATGTAGGGCCTTAATAATTGGAACAGGGCATGGGGTATATATATATATAATATATATTCTACCATAATTATAATAAGCATCCCCAAAGAACCCTAGCTAATTCTCAAACCGCTACATGAGAGCTCGGGCCCAGGGTTTTGGGTTCCGGGTCGTGTGTTCGGGACAGATGACCAGGTAAGGCCCTCGAACTGTGCACTGCAAGCAAGCTCATAGGGTTTAGGTTTAGTGTTCCATAGTGTAGATAGCCAAACACACTTGACAAGCGAGCTTCTTTGATTGCCCAGCCGTGATTGACCCCGAAGTCTTTTTTTTCAACGGCTTGGATGCTTTTTTCAATCTAGGCAGCTGCGTCCAGAGTCTGCTTCTGCTAGACTCTAGTAAAAAGTGGGTCTTAACGCTTGATCTGTGTTCAGCTAGGCTTGCCAGCTGTAGGCGTCCAGACAGGTCCCCCTGCGAGACAAAAAGCCCCCTTTAGGGACATACATTAAATATATATATATCTACATGTATATTAATGTAAATTAATATGCAGGTAAAACCATCATAAGAACCCTGAAAAGGTAGGCTTTATTCGGCCCCTGCTTGCAAAGCTATGGCATTGAACGGGTTCTTGTTAATCAAAGGGTTTACGGTCCATGCGCCCAAAAAAAACTTCGGCCCCAAAGTACCTATGTAAGGACGGACTACTTTGAGGCCAAAGTAACACCACGTGGGTCCATGTACACTGCTATGAATTATATGGAATTAGGTCCCCCCAAGCCCGCCAAAAAAAAACGTGATTAGAAGGGTCTCTGGAGGACCTAATTCCACAACGGTAGTACTTTGGGCTCTCTGGCAAGGAAGTTCGTGAAGTTGCCACAATTCAAGGTTCCTGCTTTAAGGGTTCCAGAAGTGTTTCTGGTAAAGTAAACGACATAAAACTGGCTACCAGGATAGAGAGCTTTGGAAACAATAGGGTTTCCTTGTTGTCAGAACTTAAACCCTAAACCTAAACCCTAACAAACCCTTAGCAAGTGCCCAGCTAAGAATTCGGATGCCCGGCTTTGAGTCTAGGCTCGGGGTTCAGGGTTTCTAGGCTTAGGGTGCCTGGACCCCAAAGAATGTAGAATAATAGCCTTTTCAAGGTTTTGGGCCCTTGTTTTTTACCTACTTTTGAGGGTCTAGGTATAGGCTTTATATAGGTCAGGGGTCTAAGTTTTAGGCTGTGCTACGGATTCTGATATGATTGTTGCAACCGGGCCCTGAAGTTCGGTGCAGCGGCCAAGTCTGATCGTGGATGAGCTTGCCCACGTCGATGCCCTGACGAGGTTTGCATTGTGTGCATGAAGAGGAATCCAGGAAGCTCAATTTTCCATCTCAAGCCCACACCCAACCTCAAGCCATCGGTTGCCCCATATGAAGGCCACGTTGTCTAATTATGTGTTTCTCTAACTTGCTTTGCATACATCAGATCCAACTACTTCGCGCTCTCAAGTCGGGTCCGCACAAAATGGTCCACTTGCCTTCTATGTGCCTTTCGTCTGAGTGTTTCTGAGTAGGGAATGGGGGGAATGGTTTATTGGGACTACTATTGGGGAGTTCTTTCGGGGCTACTATAGGGATCCATTCCCTACTTGAGGTTTCATGGGTTAGTTAGAAGTGGGGTTTATAAGTAGGGTACTATACTTATAACTCATATTGGGGGCTATAACGCTACTTATAACTACCCATGATCCCTAATTAAACCCTCTAACTACCGTTATAGAATCCCCATAGATCCCTTTAAAGGGACCCTTAAAGAATCTCCAAGTACTCAGAACCCGGGAGTCGTCTACCCATCAACACTGAACCCGCCACACGGTAGACCCCAGCTGCATACACACCGTAACACCCCCTCCGGAAGACTTTATAGGCATGCATTTAGGGTTTAGAGTTGAGGGTTTAGGATTTATAGGTTTAAGGGTTTGGGCTTTAGGGAACTCTCTTCTAGCTTCTAAATCCAGAAGAGCCCACGGACCAACTAATGGAGCATCAGTCGCCGGGGTCCCCTCACTCCGAAGATCCTCAGGTAACCGACTCTTGTTCGAGCAAGAAAAATTCTGGGCTAGCAAGTTCCGGTCTCCGTTTCTGAGTTGTGGTTTAGGGTTTAGGGTCAGGGTAATTCTACTACTTCCGAACAGCATCGAGACAATTACAAAGGAATGTCAAGGAACAAACTGAAAGTTACCGTAAACATCCCCCACCCGAATTCGCTGCCTTTGCAGAACCGCGTGTGCGCAGGCATCCCATTAAAAACTCTGTCCAATTGGGTGCACATGGGTGCTGTAATAGGAAGGGTTCTGAACCATTCAATAAGTTGTATAGGGTGCACAATGCTGTCGTCAACTGGTTGCGTTCGGCACATCAGCAACACCAGTACACAGCTCCAAGCGCGAATCCCTTGTACCGAAGGATTTTTTCTGTGTCAGATTCTAGCATTATGCTCAGCACCTTCGAGGGAAACCTCACGTTACAAAAGAAAGACGCCGGACTATTACGTATGCAATACTGCGATTACCGCGACGATATGAATGACGGCAGCGACGACGACGACCATCACTGGCGATGACACTGAGGCCACAACAAAACACATGAAAGAAAATTCCGTGCTCGTGGTTGTATTCACCTGCTTCTTCTGATCAGTGCTATTGGATTGCAGTTGGAAGTGTAACCCGAGCCATGACAGTCGCCCGACCACATAACAATCGTTATTGTTCTCCTTTGTCGCCTTACAGTTGTGAGTTGTAGAACACCGGCTGGTATCAGAAAGGCAGCAGTGCCGGCATGCTTCCGAATTCAAAATCAGATCAGTTGAAGTACATGCGATAAGGAGCCACAGCTTAACGTGAGGAATCGGGCTTTGGGGTGCGCTTAGGGCAGGGGGATTTGCTGTGTATCTTTGTTCTGTACGGTTGAAAAGGGTTAGGAAGGGCTCAGATGACCTGCAGTGCGGCTTGGGAACGGCTTGGGTAGGCTTGGGATAGGGCTGTAGTCGGTCAGGCTCAACGCTTTAAACCAGAATTCCGAAATGCCGAATACTAAGCCAAACAGACAGGCCAGACTTGACTTGCATGCGATCTTGTTCATGTTCAGGCTCTTCGACATAGAACCGTAAAGAACACGTGTCAAACCCTCCCTCCAATCCGACAGAAACGAGATCTATGGCCCTGTGGATGTGCAAACGGCTCTATATATGCAAAATCTTGATTCTGTAGCAGCGTTCAATCGGGATAGGGAAGACACATAAATGGCATGAGTGCAGCGACGGTTGAGGGGGAAACCTGCTGTCTCAGACCTTGCTTAGGGATTTGTGTCGCGAAGGCGCCGAATGTCGAGCCTCTACTTCCACTCACCGCTGTCGTCCATGTCAAGCATCTTGAAGAAGGACCTGCCTTCGATGAACTCTCTTCTCTGAACGGTCGCGAATCTTGTAACAGCAGGTCTTAAGGCAATCTGTGTTCGTGTGCCCAAGCATGACGATGAGTCCCGTTCAGGAGGACCCTGCCAATCAGGAGAATCACCTAACAAAGGGACGCTAACAGTTAGAAAATTGCTTCGGGGCAATTATAAGCACACCATAAACATCATGAGAACCCCTGAATGATACTGCAATTTTCTTTTGCGACCCGTATAGTACTCCCTCTAAAACTTAAGCCATGCATGCGTAGACCCACGTGCACGTCCTCCACCTACACTCGCACACGTGCACATGAAGGCCTTAACATTGTGGTGCTGGGGCCTAGTAATTGCTTTTCATCGTTGCACATGTACACACACACACACATATGACAGAGTCTATTGCATAATCTATATATATATATATATATATATAATATAATGTGATATTGATAATACAGTTGAAATGTGTATAGTTTCGGCTGTCTACTGATAGGACTAACCCTGCATTTATAACATCGCACATGGGCACATTGGGTGATGGTGCCGGGGTTTTTCAATTGTTTTGCAGGACGTACAAACAATAACTAAACCTTAAGAGCATTCAGCCTTCATAGTGTTCTTCTTAATTCCTGGGAGCTATTTAAATTATTCTTCTACAGACTGTCTATTGACACTGAAGGCTAGAGGCTAAAACCTTAAGGCCTGAACCTCAAAGCCTACAGCGGAAACCCTAAACCCGAGGCCCTAAACCTAAACTCTCTTCTCTGCTAAGTGACGTCCCAAACATCCAAGCCCAAAAGCTCGAAGTAGCCCGCACGCCAGGGTATTGATCTTCCTGTTCAAGGCTCTGCTTTAGAGCTCAGGCTATATAAACGTTTAGGGGTGTAGTCGTTGGTCCTCATTCTTCGACTTTGGTGCACAAAATGTACCTCTGGATTGATTCCCGTTTGCCTCTTGTTATCATTGCGATCGTGCTTGCTTTTGGAAACTACGAACAACGCAGGTATACCTACATGTTTGATGAAGCCAACGACCGTTACACTGTCAGTACTGGGCGGTCTTCTTATTGGGGTGCGTACGGAAGGAGGCTTCGGGATTTATCGCAACATGTTTAGGACGTAATTGTTCTGGGGTGTAGAGTTAACACGTCGCAGGTCTCAGATCTCCACGCCCACGCAGCTCATGCATGTCGAGACACATGAATACTAGCCCTTTCGTGTTGAGGAAGATCCTCCATCAGCGGGCTCTGCAATCGCCCTTCCCCCTCTCGCTTGGTTTCGTTTATGAGTCTGTGATGCGGTCGGCAATGTGTCTTCAACTTAAATGTC